CTTATTGTATTCTATCCCCTCTCATTCACCTAGATTGAAAATAGAAAATATTAATGAGTAAATAAACGTCCTCATCACTGGAGAGATATATTTCTTCATAAAAGACCGATTTTTGTATTAAAACTTTATAGGTTTTCGATATTATTATCGTAAAATTTTATATCCAATAATTTTCAGACGATTTAGAGAATAATTGAGCCTGATGGTTATTGCAAAGGTAAATGAGATAGTTGATGAATTAAATTCCGTTTCAAGTAGGCTACACATCTACCTGTTTCTCGACAATCTGGACCTGATGTTGAGGGGATAAAAGCTAAAAGAAAAGAGAGAAGAAATGGGAGACTGGTCGATAAATACGAACGATCAACAGTGTGCATACAAGAGCAAGCTCACGAAGTAAGAGAGTAATCATGAAAGATCTTTTTTATTTTTTTTTCGTACTTTTCAATCAGCTGCAAATTTGCAAAATGAGTCTCGACGAGCGAATCTGCCTCTTCGTTCCGCTTTTATTTTGTAGTTTATTTTTTATCATTCGCTCTCACTCTTCTTAATTCTTCCTCATTCGTTCTTAGCTCTCAGTACCTCCTCCATTTCGTTTCTCTTTATTCGGTCCCTTATTCTCTTTGCTTGTTGACTTCTTTGAAGTAATAACGCTGTTCAGTAATCAGACACGTCCGGTTTGAAGAAAACATAACAACCAGCTATACCTCCTCCACATGTACCTTTTTGCAAGTTTTCATTTTTCACGTTCTTCAGTTTTTTCCAAGTATTAGATCGTTTCCCGCTTGAAATTATGTAGATAACCAAATCATATTTCATCAAACGGTTTTGATTTTTAAGGGCAAAGAATCTACTCTTATATCCATCAGTCGATCGAGATTTCGATGGTAGAATTTTTACGTAGGCAATCTGTCAATATTGAACGTGCTGATGGGGCTGGGGACCGAAACGAAATTTGATCGACATTAGGTGGTATTGGGTTTGTGTTAGGGCTTCTGAAAATCGATAATGTGTTATGGAAAATAACATTCATTCGAGAACGCTTGAATTCCTCCAAGCGTTTCTAAAAATATTCGCACAACACCTGTCGAGATGAATTGCTACTCACAAGATATATATTACACAACTTGGATCTAGGAAAAAAAAGTTTATCAGAAATTATATTGACATTAAAAATTCATTTAACACTTGTAACTTGTCAGATATTTTTTTAAAGTTTTGGACAAAAGAAAAATGCTTATTTGATAGGTATATTTATAAATAAAAATTATTCGTTAAAAGTCGATTATGCTATGAATACTTTTTTGCATTTAATTTAATGTGTTTGATGTGAATAATATTTTACGTATTCAAACACCCAATGATATCCTTCTGTAGTCCATTGAATGATCGACGTTCGATATAGTAGATTATTATATTTTTCAAGTTTTTTATTTTGTTTCAAATGACTCTTATCTAGAATAAATCATTATTACAAATCTTTCACTTCACTACCTTTTTTCATTCATTCAAACTACTATTAATTTGAAACACACTTATAAAATTTTCTACGAATAGTTAAATCATTTCGACTATTGACATATTTTTTTAAAAATATTCCGTTAATGTACTCGATAGTTAATGAAACATAGATAATTGTTTTCATCTTGAGATTGACATATTTTATTTAATTTTATCTGTTGGTGTACTTGATTATGTAAATGATGCAATTTTAATGCTGAGGCTGAAATAATTTTAACAAGTAAAGAAATTTTTTTAACAGATAAAAGATATTCCGTTATTCAACGAAATGAGTGCTTTTATAAACTTTGAAAGATTATCTACTGCATTTTTTATCTGTTGACTTTTAGAACTATGACGGTTTATTTCTCAATGTTTACATTTTATGTAGACCATAAAATTCTATATTTAAGACCAATTTTCATCTATGTTAAATTTAACTATTATTCAAAAATAGCTGCGATCAATTTTGTCAATAATGATTATTATTAATTCACTGAGTTAATTTAAACTTAGAATCTAATAATAACGTAATAAGTATTTTTTCTTTAAGTCCATTACAATCATAGAGTTTTTTTTTAATTTCATTATTAAATCTTATTAATAAAGAAAAAGAACAAAACCATTATTTGTATAAACATCATAATATGTTTTTATTCTTATGATCTCTTTGCTCTTAAAATTCAAGTTTATTTCAAGAAAGAATAATTTAGAGAAAATTAAAATTAAGAAGGGACTTGTTTAAAACTTATTACATTTTTCTTAAATTAATAAAATATTTTCCAAGGCACTAAAAACTTTATTGCAACCATATTTAACACACTTAGAAACGCATTAAAAGTGACTACAATGTTAACCCAATGGGTGCCGTCATATTATACACGTTTAGATGTGTCACAAGAAAACAGTTAGACTTAAAGTGTAAAGACTGCTGCAGACAAATATGCGAAAAATAAACCGGGGAATTTGTAAAAGTAAAAAAAACTTTTCGTTAATTTTATGAGTATATGTAAGAATGAATAAGGACAATATTGTAAAATAAGACTCAATAACAACTTCGGAAAATTAGAAAATAAATAAAATGTTTATTAATGATTGACAGCAATTAATTAAAAGTAAGAATCCGTGCGGTCAACTCAAGTCACAGTCAAAAACCGGAGATAAACAAACTCTCCCCTCGTTGCTATAAACAATCTAATCGTCAAGCAATCGTCGTTAACTAACAAACTGTCGTTAGTCTAATAGTCATTAGATGGCGACATACAAATATTTTACAATATAATAGGTTCTAATAACGAAATATTAGTAAATAATATTTTCTTATTTCTGAATAAACTAAAAGAGAATCCATTTGATTAACATTGTAGTCACTTTTTACACAGATCTAGTGTGTAAAAAGTGACTACAATATTAATCAAATGGGTGACGTTATATTTAACACACTTATCCGTATTAAAATAAAGCATTTTGGAAAACTGGGATTTACAGTGCATCCGTTAGCAATTATGAAATATTTTAAAAATAATGTAGCAAATTTTGTTAGGAAACATTGTGAAAAATATAGGATGTTTGGAGATACCAGTGAAATCTTTTGTTTACGAGTCCGATATTGATCATAACGAGTTAAAATAATTAATTGTCAATTAGAGATAAACGACTCAAGACTAAGTAGTGTGCATAACATTTTTTTTAGAATAAGAATAGAATGTTGTTAACAATTAAAGATTTATATAAAAAATTCAATATTCTTGAAAAGAATTCGAATCATCATTAACTATGCAATAAGGTGGAAGTACAGTGTTACATCGATAATAATTGTGGAATATTTTGATTTATAATGAAAGATTGTCAACAAAAGTATTTTTTTCCAATTCCATAGATTCTATTCTGATTTTCTTTTTTAAAAATCTACAATTAACAATAGATTCAGCTTAGCTACTTAATTGAAGGAATGAATTAAATATTAAATATTGTGGCTGAAGCTTTTCGGGCGATGGCCGGCTGCATACCTCTGGTTGTAGTCATCACAATAAAATTATTAATTATTATTAAATATTCAACATTTATTGAATTTACAATTAATTGATTAATTCAGTAACTATTGGTTACTTTAATAACATAACTAAATCAGGTAGAAGAAAACTTTTTTAGGGTTAAATTTTATTTTTTTTTACATAAAGAACACTTTTAAATAAAATGATGAATGAAAAAAAATTTTTTTTAATTATAAACACGAAAATCAATATACATAAATTAATTTATAGAATAAATAATAAATTGAAAAAAAACTAAAACTCGGATTGAACAAAAAAAAGGTCAGAGATTAAACTTTTTGTTTAAAAATATCGAATTGTCATGACTTCTTAAGTATATGCTTACAATCTTGTGTATACACAAGAAAATGTGCAGAAATATTTCTTAAAGGCATTCAAGGAAAATTACAATTCAGTAAATGTCTAGGTAATTTTTTCTCACAGAAAATAAGTGTTGAAAATAAAAATAAATTATAAAGACGTTAAAATTCAATCTACTGGAGGCGTAGTAAAGGTTCATAGTAATAATGTTAAACATAGTAGTGGTAGTGGATGGTAGTGGTAGTATGTAGTATACTTGCTAGAGAATTTATTCAGCTGCCAAAGGTAGTTTTACCTCGTTTGAGAGTTGAAAGGAATAGGAGATAGAAGAAAATCACACGAGATGCTCCAAGTGCTTTAGAGAAAATAAATAGAGCTAGAAATCGAGTAAAACGAGGATAACTTCAAAGATACAATAGCCAGAACGAACTACCTGTTACACTGGAACTTTCTTCAAGTAACACTAATTTTTGCAAAAATGTTACATTTAATACATAAAGAATTTTATGAATAACACCAACTGTCCAAGACAAATATTTTTTCTATCTTGTTCAATTAATGTTTTATTTATTTTAAGAAAATATTTTCTTTTGTTGCAATACAAAAAAACAATGAAATTTTGTAAAAAGGAGTAGCAACTTTCAGGAAAATGCTCCTGGAATTTAATACTTATAATTGATATTTCTCTTACTAAATTCAAGAAATCTTATCAAATATTTTGAAAAACTTTTTACCAAAAATGAACAAGTATATTTGAAACTTTCTAATAAATTTGTAAAACTTCAGAATAATATAATTATTGTTCAATTTTTTTTATTCAAAAGAAAGATCTAACGAGAATAACTAAATTGATTGATTACTCCGATATCCTAAATAAGAAAAAAAAAATATAAACGAAACTTTTTATGTAAAAAAAAATTTTTTTCATTTGGAAGATCATCGATCACAGTTGGGAGTCTCTTTCTCTTTCTTTCTCTTCGAAATTCCCTCGATAGAACTCGCTTGAGCGAATTCTTCGTTCAAATACACCATCGTCTTCGTGGGTGTAGGTTCGTTTATGTCCGGTTGCGTTCGGGAATCTTCGACATTCAGGCCTGCGTCGACCCTGGACGACCCATGGCGGCTGTAGCAGAACTGGTTGTGGCTTTCACGCGGCAACACACTCTTGTGTCCACGCGTATTGTGTAACGTTTATTCGTAATATTTACGTGAAATAAACAATTATAGTTCATTAAACAGTTTAATTTAAACAAAATAAACTATTTCATATTAATAATATTAATTTGAGTTTACATAGAGTTGAAAAATTAACACGTGGAGCAATAAACAAGCTGTCAAAAAGTCTTGTGTTGAGTATAGTTGTGTTCTTGCTACCCAACCATCAGGAATCTCGTTTAGGCGCATTCGAATTGTAACAGGCGCTAAACTTCTTTTAAAGTTTCACAAAAACACTTTTTTAACTTTAAAAAAGTTGGATTTTTAGATCTAACGATTAAACTGGTGTCAAATTGAAACGAAATTTTATTTTTTATTTTTCAAAAGTTATTTTGGAAAATTTTATTTGATGTAAAAATCAGTTTAACACTTAAATAATAGTTGCTTAGTTACAACAATTAACTCTTAAACTAAAGAGTGTTTCAGACTTATTGTTAAACAATTAAAAAGGAATTTTTCAAGTAGTGAAAACAATTAGTGGGACACAAAAAATGAGCTGAGTTATATTATCGAACGAGAGAAGAGGGAAATTAAATGCGTTTCTTTTTCTATTATAAATAGAGACGCACGCGCAAAAATCGTTCTCTCTTACTCTCGTACGTCGTAACGACGAACACGTGCTTCGAAGCTAATCATGTTGCTGCGATTAGCACTGTTGTTTATCATCATAAGGCCCGGACAAGGCTCATTCAATCTCTTTCTCAGCCAGGCTGAAGTACGAAAATTAATGGGTAAGCATTTTCTCAATTTAAAATTACATCTCGTTTATCATTAAAAATCGTTTCTCTTTAATTGTGAGTGAAATATTGTTTATATTTATTTATTTTCTTTTTCTTGAATTATTTGGAAGCCTTTTGACTATCCATCAGAAACGAATCGTGAAATATTTTTGAATTCCACTTGTACAATCGCTTACAAGCTGATCATTTATCGACTTCATCCAAGGTTTATCTATATAGGAGATTAATTTAATCGCGATACTTCATGTTTTTTAGATTAAAAATAATAGTCTCAATTTCTTTGACATCTGTTATTTTGTCATATTCTTATTCATTTTTATTTAACTAATTCATAAATAATCACTAATTACCAGTCAAACGTTTTTTTATTATTGATATCATGATTGAAATACCCCTCAAATCCAATACGCCTCTTTAGTTATTAAAATAATGTCCAATAAAAGGCATGACCTTAATGATAAAACTATTATGTTGTAGGGAGTATTTTTTCCATTTTTGGAATAATTTTCTCTTGAATTATAGATGATACATTAATTATTTTATTTAAATTTTAAATAGCAATTTAAAGTTGACAATTTGATAGAAAAGAAATAATTACAGCTCGAGTAGAACCTCATGAATTAAGTTTTTAAAAGAGGAGAAGATTGAAGTATAATTGAATTCTAAAGGAAAAACATAATTTAAAATCCATTATTTAAAAATTATTGATATATTTATTTGACAATAATGTTGTGTTATATGTTAAGGTGAAATTTTAATATCCCATAACAGAGCCGCTATTTTTGAAGGAAATTTAATTTCTTCAGCCAATGTAAACAAACGAGCAGGTTCAAACATTGCTTTGGAAAAAAAATCATAATAACTGCATCAACAAAACAATTGTGTAAACAACATAATCTTCAATCAATATTTTGGTATTACATATCTCTAAGTATTATTGTGAGTGATGTTTTGAATTTGATTTCTATTCCGTTCATCCCTCATGAGAAGCTCGTTAATATAAATCTAGCTATTATGTAAAACAAATGAATCATTTAAATAGATGTTGATTTTTCTAGTAAAATGAACTGATTCTTCATATTAGAAGTATCCGGGAACTGATAAAATCAATGAATAATTGCCAATGTTCACATCATATTCACTGATTTATTCTCAGAGGGAATATATGGGTGTAAAGATGTGGATATTTATTAGAGCTTAAGCTTGACATTCAATTACTGTTGGAGAATTTGTTCATACAGAGGTGTTGAAATCTGTTATTTATATTCTTTGGAGTGCTCATTAATACTTAAAGAGCATGACACCTTTATTAAAACACCAAGTTTAATAATTGTTCATCATTTCCTTTAGATGATATTACCACAGCTGGAAATAATTTCCTTTCGGCTCGTTGGGCCGCAAAAAATGTCCAGCTCGCTGGTTTGCAATTGCGCGCAACGACACCTGAACATTCGAATTAGTACGTGGCTTTTCCCCTGCTCATATTCCACCATCTATTTTATCTGTGAAGCAGCCGACTGGTGTGCAATTCGTGAGTTTCGCGTGCTGTCTCCCTTGCGTTTCTCGATTCGCTCGCTTGCGAATTTCACGGAAATATTAATAGAAATAGCTGGGAAGCCAAGCGAGTTTTGTATAACAGACGCTCTCGGGAATTTTCGGATGACGAATACATGACAGAATAGATAAAGCTTTTTTATTATCTTCACAATTTTTCTCTGACAGATAAAATGAGAGAATTTCTCGTCAACACTCATTTATTAAATCGTTTAAACAAAAATACGCTTGTTGTAAAAAGCAAATATTTTTTTCCATCAGTAAAATCAATAACTGACCACTTTTTTCGCTTTAATTAATATTACGCTAAGTCTATCTGTCTGGTTTAATTTATTTTTTTGTTCGTGACTTTATTGCGTTTTCTCTCTTGTGATCGATTCTGAGAATAAAATTATCGCAGCTAATGTTTGAGTAACTAAAGGTTTGCTACTCTTGCTAATTTCATTACAAAAAATTAGTGAAAACTTCTCACACTCTTGGATTAAACTAATAGAATTAAGTGTATGTGTATGGCAATGTAATTTTTCATTAATAGATATTAAATAGATATAGAAGATTGCTGGAATATAAACTAAATGAATGTATTTGAAAGAGCAGACTCAATTGAAGCTCTTGATTAATATCTCTTCAAAAAGATTCTGATAATCCATCTATTTATTGCAGACTTTGAAAGTAATCAGAGTAATTTTTACTTTGACTGTAAATCCAGCAATCTATTAACTGGTCTGTTGGCGCAACAATTTTCCATAAAGGTTGATGTAAAGTAAAAATAAATGATGAAGCTTTTTTTCAGTAGAATGTTTATTTAGGATATCGTCTGGCGTACAGGTTAGACTATGGTGAATTGCTCGCGCTATATAGTTAGACATCGATTCGAAGCAAAGCGTTCATTGCTCGTGGTTGATGCAGACCAGGTCAGGAACCGCGTTCTCACTCTCTCAAAGGTTTGCCTGGTCGACTCAAAAATTTACGACCCATTACTCTCGAGTTCTCGCGGCTTGCCTCGCCACCTACGTGTTTATGCACGTGAATATTTCTCCAGCCATGTACCATACTCAATGCACACACGATCACGTAACGATGTGTAGACGATGATAATAGATAATTGAAATAAGCATGCATAAAATATTAAATATTTACAAAATCTGCAGTACATTGATATAAATATTCTTAATGAATCATATTATGAATTGCAATTATTAATCATTTGTTGTAAAGTTAACTTTTTAGTTATTAGTTTGTTTTTTTTTTAGTTATTATAAGGAATTTAGTTATTAAAAATGTTAACTTTACTTTGACTATAATGAAAAAAATTAATCTTGGCGTTTTATTGTGAAAAAATTATCATTCTTATACTTACAGTAATGTGTATAGTATTTTATAAACAAATAAAAAAAAAAATTGAATACACACAAGATAGATAAAAACGTTTAGTATATTTTCATCCTTTATAATAAATAGTCTTTTTAACTAACGCGTAATATTAACCTTCGAACTAGCGAGTAAATATGAGAATAAATCAGTTACAGCCATTATGTACATATCCACTCTCATACAAGTTCCAAGTCTAGACCGTTTGATTCTCTAGTATAGACTTTAGCTGCCTCTGTACGAGGCATGGTAATAAAATATGATAACGAGGTCCTTGTTAAGCGTCTCTGGGTGCCGCGGGCCTCGCCAGGACCGGCTTTCTAGTTTGTTTAGACACCGAATAATCGAGTATTCTTTCTCTCTTGTTCGCATGGAGAATTCTCTCGTTTACCTTTTATCTCTTCCTACCTTTTCTCGTCTTTACATTTTATTTGGTCCTGTTTCTTCTGCCTTGAGAGTCTTGACCGAGCTACGTGGCCACGAGAGTTCCAAGGGGAAACTCGAGATCGGTTTTAAGATAGGGCTTTACTAAACCTTCTTCATGGACCATATGGACCAATGCCGGATCTCATAGTCTCTTGTAGCAAAGTAACGTCTAAAATTTCGTGGTTCTTTAAAGTTTCTAACTTATTTGGTCTGCAAGCAATCAAGCCAAGAAATCGATCTGATGGTAAAAACCTTTTCTCTCTCAAATTACTTGAAGAGTTTCATCTTACACTTGAATAAGGGAAGACTCCAATCGGTCGATTGGCACTCTATTGTCCTGTGGTAATTTACATTATTTATTCATCCATAAATTCCCTCCTGGTGAGACTTGATCATCATGGAATGAATTCGTGAATAAAATTTTCCCATGATGGATGACCAAAAAGATTCATGATGGATCGATGGAATAACGTATCTCCCTCATGTCCTCGTGAAAAAATTTGTTTGCCTTTTTATCTGCTTGTTATGTGAAAATGCTGGTGTCTAACAGCTACTTCAACTCAAACTGTGTACTTTTATCAACGAAAAATGTAGAATACTAAATATACTAACTAAAAACATTTATTTTCTGTTCAAATAAATTTATATTCTCTAAAGAATAATTTTTTACTACTCCAAAACATCCACTATCCATATTCATTCCAAAATTAGTGTCTTTTTATATTCTAATTAGTATTTATGTCATAATTTATTTAAAAAATAAATATTTTACAGAGTATTTTTTATAAAAACTGTCTCCTAAACGTCTGTATTCCAGACAGCTCTTATCTAGAGTATTACTTTAATAAAAATGTGTTATAAAACATAATGTAAAAAAACAACTCATTTATCTTATCCAACCCAGTGTCAAATATACACATCTTTAGCCTTGTATTAAAGGTCCTTTAAGATAAAACCTCGAATATTCCAAACCTGTCGGGACAACTTCCTAACAGAGGTGTCTTTTCATTCCCCTAAATTGATTTTACACATTCAGTACAATTTTCCTGCATTTGGACGGTACTTTTTGATTTCGTGAAATAATTTGTAATTCTATTACCGAACGAGAGAACTCAATCGCCAGTATACTGAACTCTCAAGTACATTTAATGTAAATGTGAGACTCAACAAACTTTTTCAAATTTATTGGGAATAAATTTTATATTCTCTCTCGTTCTACGATAAACCATGATGCTGCGTGAGGGTACTATCATCAGAAGTAAAAGTTTTATTAGCCTCTTCTACACCCGCATATTCCATACTTTATTCGACAAAATTACACAGTTTGCATCGAAATTGCTTTTTTGACACTGGAATTTATATATTATGTGAAGAAGTTCACAATTTATTTTATTAAAAAAAAACTACCAGTTCATGAATTTATTGATATAGCACTCATGTCAATTTAAGGGATTTTTTAATCACAGTTTCCTTTTGAAATTTTAATAAATTTTTAAATGACTTGTGGTTTGAAAAATAGCTTTTTTTACCAATGTATCTTTCTTTACATTGAACTTACGATGGTCTTTGACCTTTAAAAGTGTGGCATAAATACTCAGTGGCGTCATTTAAATCAATTCTCCGAAGTAGAATATATATCC